GCTGCGCCTGATTGTTGATTTCATTGAACATTCCTTTTCCAGAGGGAAAAGGTGTCAACCCAATTCAGGACGGGTCACCGCCCAAACAAAAAGCCCCGACCAAGGCCGGGGCTTTTGCTGAAACTGGTGCCGGAAATAGGAATCGAACCTACGACCTACGCATTACGAATGCGCCGCTCTACCAACTGAGCTATTCCGGCTGAGCAGGCAATTTTACGGTCGCCCTGCCCCTGCGGTCAATCCGGTCGTGACGATTGCCGTCAAACGCCCACCCGCCCGGCCCCTCAACCCGCCGCCACCCGGTTGCCGCACTCCCGCCCCGCCGCGAAATCGGCCAGGTTGCCCAGCGTGATCGCCGAGATCTCCTGCAGCGCCTCCACGGTGAAGAAGCCCTGGTGGCCGGTCACCAGCACGTTGGGGAAGGTCATCAACCGCTGGAAGGCCTCGTCGTCGATGATCTCGCCGGACAGGTCCTGGAAGAACAGCGCGCTTTCCTGCTCGTAGACGTCGATGGCCAGATGACCCAGCCGGCGCGACTTCAGCGCGCGGATCACCGCATGGGTATCGACCAGGCCGCCGCGCGAGGTGTTGACCAGCATCGCGCCGGGCTTCATCCGCGCCAGCAAGGCGTCGTCGATCAGGTGCTGGGTATCCGGGGTCAACGGGCAATGCAGCGAGACGATGTCCGAGCGCGAGAGCAGCTCGTCCAGTTCAACCATCGCGCCGATCCGGGCGAACGCGGGCGAGGGATACGGATCGTGTCCCAGCACGGTGCAGCCCATGCCGCGGAAGATGCGCGCGGTGGCCAACCCGATCTTGCCGGTACCGACGATGCCCACGGTCTTGCCATGCAGGGTGTGGCCGAGCAGGCCATCGAGCATGAAGTTGCCCTCACGCACGCGGTTGTAGGCGCGATGGGTGTGCCGGTTGAGGGTCATCACCAGCGCCAGTGCGTGCTCGGCCACCGCTTCCGGCGAGTAGGCCGGCACGCGGGCGACGAACAGGCCGAGCGCATTCGCGCTGGCCAGGTCCACATTGTTGAAGCCGGCGCAGCGCAGCAACACCGCGCGTACGCCCAGTGCATGCAGGGTCTGCAGCACCGGTGCATCGAGCCTGTCGTTGACGAACACGCAAACGGCGGCGCAGTCCTGTGCCAGCGCGGCGGTGTGCACGTCCAGCGCCGCGTCGAAGTACACGAGCTGGAAATCCTGCCCTGCCCCCTCGTGCTGGTTGGCTTCCTCGAGAAAGCGGCGGTCGTAGGGACGGGCACTGAAAACGGCGATCTGCATGGCAAGGCCTGCGCGGAAATCCGCCACGACCATAGCGCACCCGCACACCGATGGGGATGGCACCGGCGGCGCGACGGCCGCCGGTGCCGGTACTGCCTTAGAACGTATAGCCCAGGCCCAGCATCACGCCGTTCTGCAGCTGGCCGTCGCGGCGCTCGCCCACGTAGTCGACCATCACCGACAGGCGATCGGTGGCGCGGCTGGTCACACCCAGGTTCCAGGCCAGCACCTGCTCGCCCACGGTCTGGCTGCTGGCACCGAACACCAGGTCCGGCGCAGCGGCGAAGCCGGTGCTGTAACGGGCCTGGGTGTCGCCCAGTTCCTTCTGCCAGACCACGCGCGCGCGCGGGGTGATGCGCTCGCCGTTGTTGCCTTCGAAGGTCTTGAACAACTGCAGGCCCGCACCGACACGGATGCTTTCCAGGCTGTCACCACGCCCGACCAGTGCGCCAGCACCCTGCCCTTCATTGAAACGGGTGGCCGAGGTGCGCGCGTAGTCCACTACCGGCAGCAGCGGCTGGATCACCACACCCTTGGCGGTGGTGAACGAGAAGCCGTGCTCCAAGCGGGCCGAGATCGCATCGTTGTTGTACTTGGCACGCAGCGGGCCCTGCAGGCCGTCGATGCCCTCGATGCTGCGGCGGGTGTCGTGGCGCAGGTCGGTGTAGCGCACCGAGGCCGAGAGGTAGCCACGCGAGTAGGTGGCATCCAGGTAGCCGCCCACATCCAGCGCGCGCACATCACCGGTGAACCCGGAACCATCGCGGCCCTTGGTCGACATGTCGGCGGCGGCAACGCTGACGCCCAGGGTCAGCCGGTCATCGGCCAGCTGCGTATCGGCACCGAGCACGATGCCGCCGACGGTATGGCTCAGGCCGGCCACGCCGCCCTCACCGTCGATGCGGCCATGGCTGCCGAAGCCGCGGCCCCAGAGGCCGTGGTTGCGTGGTGCTTCGCCGCCGAAGTTGGTGTTGCCACCGCCCGCCCCCGCCGGCTCCACCAGATGCATCGCCAACTGGTTGAACAGGCTGCCATTGGCCATGCCGGGCTGCGCCGAAGCCGCCTGCGCTGCCTGTGCGGCCAGGCCGCCGGCGTCACCGCTGCCGCTGCGTCGTGCGGCCTGGTGCTGCTGCACCACGCTGCCGATGCTGCCAACCAGGGCGTTGTCGGCCAGGCGCAGGCTGGCGTGGCCATCACCACGCAGTGCACCGGCCTGCTGGGCGATCACATCGCGGTCAGCGAACTGCAGCGCCCCCAGCAGCGGCTTCAGGCCGGCATCCTGGCGCTGGCCCGCAGCAGCCAGCGCGCGACCGAGTCCATCGTTGCCGTTGTTGCCGGTGAGCTGCGCGAGCTGGTCGAAGCCGGGGTTGGCGGTCAGCGACAGGCCCTCGGCGGTCTGATTGATGTTGAAGCTCAGCAGCGAGTTGTGGCGCGGCCGGAACACCTCGCCGTCGGTGATGCTGGCCGTATAGCCGGTGTCGCCCAGGCGCACCGCATCGGTGAAACCGCCCTGGTAGATCGGGCCGCTCACCAGCTCACGCTGGTAGTTGCCGGCGTAGAAGCCCTGCGCCACGTTCAGTTCAAGGTGCGCGCCCGGCGAGATGACCAGCGCGCCTTCGTTGGTGCCGCTATCGTAGAAGTCGCCCACGCGCAGGCGGCCACTGTTGGCCCCGCCCGCCTCGGTGACGTCGAACAGCACCTTGCCGCCTGGCATGATGTTGACGTAGCCGTGGGTGACCAGATCACCGCCACGCGGCATCAGGGTGCCGTACACGCGCAGGCGGTTGAAGCCATCCTCGCGGAACGAGGGACCGGTGCCATCGAACAGCGCATCCGAGTCGTTGGCGACCGAGGCGATGTCACCGTGGCCGACCACCATGCCGGCCGCCAGCACGCGCAGCTCCGGGGTCCGCAGGGCCCCGCCTTCCAAGGCGATGGTGCCGTTCTCCACCAGCATGAAATCGGCGCCGGTGGTCTCGGCGGTGCGCCAGGTGCCGCCCTTGGCCACGCGGATCACACCGGCCGAATTGCCCAGCGTGGAGGCATCCAGCTCCGACAGGCGCAGGCTCGCCAGCAGGTCGGCCTGGATGCCCGGATCGTTGAGGAAGTCCTGCACCGAGAAGCGACCGATGCCGTTGGGACCGCGTGCCGCCGCGTTGTAGATGGAAACGGCCTGGTTGATGTACGTGGTGGCGAAGTCGGTATCGTTCCAGCGCGAGAAGTCGTCGTCGACGAACGCCTGCAGCTGGCGTGCGGTGCGCAGGTAGCCCGGATTGATGTCGCCGCTGACATTGCCGGTGACGGTCAGGGTGTCGCCCGGGTCGCGGTAACCGGCGGCGGTGATGATGTTGTTGCTGTAGATGTCCTGGCCGGGGAAGGTTTCCAGCTTGCGGCCGCTGCCATCGGGATCGAAGCTGACCGACGCGCCGGTGGTCCGGGCCGGATCGCGGAACACCAGCAGACCGTTGGGCTGCACCACCTCGTACATGGCCTTGTGCAGCAACCCGGCATCCATGCCGCCGCCGTAGTTGCCGGTGTAGATCTCGGTCATCCGCGGCGAAGGCGTATAGATCACCTTGCCACCGCTGCTGGCGGCGTGGATCTGCACCGAGTCGACCAGCGGCAGGTCACCGGCCAGGTAACGCTCGACGCCACCGGACTGCATGATCGAGCAGGACGAGATGCAGTGGCCGGACACGATGGTGTTCAGGCCATTGGTGCGGATCACCCCCTGCAGCCACTCACCCGCGATCAGCGCGCCACCATTGGAGGTGCGCAGCACGACTTCGCGGATCGGACGGCCTTCGGCCTGCGCTTTGGCCAGCAGCGCCGGCAGCGCGACGACGTCGGCGACGGTGACACCGCCACTGAGCACGACGCGATCGCCCTGCACGTGATAATTCATTGCCATGACGTCATCCATCTGGCCCAGGGTCGCGATACCCACCAGGCCGGCCAGGGCGATGCTCAACTTCGAATGCTTCATTGCGTACTCTCTCTCCGCCCGCACCACGCGGGTCGAAAGCAGAACGCAGCAGCGGGGCAGACGCCCCCAGTCGGCGACGAGAAAAAAGATGAATGCATTCACAATGGAAATACCAGAGAAACGTGGGCTTCCCCATCCGGTCACCGTCGCGTAAAACTCGATGACGCGTCCGTCATTGTCGTCCGAGGCCCTCCCCTGTCCGTGCCCTCCCCTTTGCTCCGTGCTGTGCCGGAACTGCCTGGGATTCCGGACGTCTTCATTGCATTCGTACGTGAGGAACGCGCGCCGCTGTGCGCGTTCCTGCGCGCCCGCGGTGTCGGTCCCGAGGATGCCGAGGACATCGCCCAGGACTGCATGGAGCGCCTGATCCGCTACCGCGCACACGACACCGAGGAACTGCGGCTGCTGCTGTACCGCATCGCCCGCAACCGCCTGGCAGACCGCGGGCGCTCGCCGCAATCGCGCAACCACCTGTCGCTGACCGAACGCGACGGCAACGAAGAAGCCGCCAGTGCTTCTCCTGATCCGCTGCGTCAGGCAGAATCCGGGCAGATGCTCGCCCTGCTGCGCCAGGCATTGTTCAAGCTTCCCGAACGTGCCCGCGAGGTGTACCTGCTCAACCGCATCACCGGGATGAGCTATACACAGATCGCCCAGCATTGTGGCATCACCGCCAAGACCGTGGAAAAACACATTGCCCGTGCATTGCAGGGCCTGCGCAAGGAGCTGGGCCCCGATCCTCTCCACAATGATGGAGACACCGAATGATCCGCAACGACAACAGGGATGACACGTTGCTTTTTGAACACGCAAGCGCCTGGGTAGCCCGGCTGGAAGCCCCCGACTGCAGCCCAGAAGAGCGTCAATCCTTCGAGGACTGGCTGGCCGAGGATCCCGCGCACGTCAGCGCATGGGTGCAGGCCGA